GAATATGAGAGACGCCGTAGTGGAGGGCTGCGGAAATTTCACCACCTGGGGTTCTTTAACGTGCGCCCAAATCTGAGCACACGGGTTGATGATGATATTTGATATGTAGGGTTTAACGTCCCAAAACCACCATATCATTATGAGAGACGCCGTAGTGGAGGGCTCCGGAAATTTCGACCACCTGGGGTTCTTTAACGTGCACCCAAATCTGAGCACACGGGCCTACAACATTTCCGCCTCCATCGGAAATGCAGTCGCCACAGCCGGGATACGATACCGCGACCTGCGAGTCAGCAGCCGAGTACCTTACCCACTAGACCACCGCGGCGGGGCGACATTGCGGAGAAGTCCGGAAGTTTCGACCATATGGTGCTTCTTTAACGTTCACACTTACATACGTACGCCTGTGCCGAAACGTTTGGTTGCCGCGCAGAATGTTGGGGTTCGATTCCTGCTGGGACCCGGACATTAATTCTTCACATTCGTCGGATCAACGCTGCCGATGTCAGTTTTTTCTAAACGCTCACTCGTTAAAATTATCCATGTGTGTTCTCGCCGTTCCTGGGTGGATACTATAAGTGTCTATAACCTGTGGCACATACCCACGTACCAGTGGAACATGCCCGCCCGAGGGTATGTGCCACTGTCTAGCGGAAAATGTTTGACTACGTACGCGACGGGATCGAGATTTATCATGTGTTGACCAGCGCGTCATATTCGTCGAACCATCTTGCCCTCCCAATACTAATTTTGGTTCACGCCAAGTTACGGGGGTGATCTCAAGAGCACCCAGAGTCCCAGACGTGAGATGCCAGATAGATAGATAGATAGATAGATAGATAGATAGATAGATAGATAGATAGATAGATAGATAGATAGATAGATAGATAGATAGATAGATAGATAAAAGCTTGCAGCACGCAAATAAATACTTCATATTTAGAACTTGGCTCCAAATGAGCGAATGTAGTCGTTCCCAAAATCACTCATGTCTTCAGGACACCGTCGGTGTAGCAGAGTGTATGAAGCGTGGTGGCTTTTTTGAGTCAATGCTGATCCGAATGTTATACTTTGAACGCCATTTCATTTGACACGAATGTCAGCTGCCAATGAGAGTTCAACCATGGGTGAGAATCATGGTGATGTCACGTGAGTCACTAGCGATCAAGTTATTAGCCCGAGTGATAGGTGCCAGGACATTATTACTCTTTCAAAGAGGTTACATTTGACATGCATGTCGGCAGGTTATGACTGTGCGTGAGTAGATGATAGGCGTAATGACATCACACGAGTCACCAGTGATCAATTCGCTTAGCCAAGCGATAAGTATGGCGTTATTGGTCTTTCAAAGACGTTTCGTTCGATATGCATGTCAGCAGGTTGGTACAGTGCGTATACGGTTGACAGGCGTGATGACGTCACGTGAGTCACTAGTGATTGCTTCAGTTGAATGAGTGATAGTGACTGGCGTATCACTGTTAGAAAGGCACTTCATCTGATATACTTGTTGGCAGGTCAGAAAAGTGCTTGTGTGGATCGGAAGATATTTGGAGCCACGTCGATCACTATCGATCATGCTTTGGCCGCAAAATAACACACACAAAGTAAAGAATCACTAAACGACAAGCACAAAATAACACACACAAAGTAAAGAAACACTAAACGACAAGCACAAGCGGCACTTCCAACTTGTCCTTTAGTGTTTTTTTTTACTTTGTGTGTGTTATTTTGCGGCCAAAGAATGTCAGTAAGCCAAAACCAACTAGGCCAACAATCAGTATTGTTACACTATCGATCACCTGCTCATAGGTAACTTTAGTGATCACGAGTAACTCAACTGGTGCTTGAAACGGTATACCCACATAAGCGCTGAGTTGGCCACATTTTGTTCCCAGTGACCACAACGTGGATTTTCGCAGCGACGGTCGCACTGTGTCACTGTTTCATTATGTCTTGTTCAAGTGGCCCATTAAACACTGGGCTTTTGTTGAGGGGGATTAAACTGAGTTTAATAATCGTTGGTATGCAGGTATAGGTGTGGCTACATGGAGGTAGAAACGCAGAGTGTGAGAGAGTTCATAGGCGTGGGAGCGTCCCGCGAACCGGAGAGCCACGCGCAACTTGATATTTCAGCTCACAGAGGAGGAGGAGGAGGAGGAGGAGGAGGAGGAGAACGTAAACGCTGGAAGAAGCGGAGAATCCTCAAGCCCCTAGAACTAGGGGCTTAAAAGAATCCCGAAGCAACGTGTGACTTGACACTGCAGGTGATGGTTGCGCCATCTCTGGATGCTTCTTGTAACAGTCTCTAGTGACGCATTCATTCTTTATTTCACACATTCTTATAACTCCCGGAGGCCTCCACCACGGCGTCTCGCATAATCAGTTTTTTTTTGTAGTTTTGGGACGTTAAAATCTATACATTAATATTATTAGCAATTAGCACAGTGTTGAGACCAGATAGATAGATAGATAGATAGATAGATAGATAGATAGATAGATAGATAGATAGATAGATAGATAGATAGATAGATAGATAGATAGATAGATAGATAGATAGATAGATAGACAGACAGACAGACAGACAGACAGACAGACAGACAGACAGACAGACAGACAGACAGACAGACAGACAGACAGACAGATAGATAGATAGATAGATAGATAGATAGATAGATAGATAGATAGATAGATAGATAGATAGATAGATAGATAGATAGATAGATAGATAGACAGACAGACAGACAGACAGACAGACAGACAGACAGACAGACAGACAGACAGACAGACAGATAGATAGATAGATAGATAGATAGATAGATAGATAGATAGATAGATAGATAGATAGATAGATAGATAGATAGATAGATAGATAGATAGATAGATAGATAGATAGATAGATAGATAGATAGATAGATAGATAGATAGATAGAGAAGAGCTTGCAGCACGCAAATAAATACTTCATATTTAGAACTTGGCTCCAAATGAGCCAAATGAATGTAGTCGTTCCCAAAATCACTCATGTCTTCAGGACACCATCGGTGTAGCAGAGTGTATGAAGCGTGGTAGCTTTTTTGAGTCAATGCTGATCCGAATGTTATACTTTGAACGCCATTTCATTTGACACGAATGTCAGCTGCTAATGAGAGTTCAACCACGGGTGAGAATCATGGTGATGTCACGTGAGTCACTAGCGATCAAGTTATTAGCCCGAGTGATAGGTGCCAGGACATTACTCTTTCAAAGAGGTTACATTTGATATGCATGTCGGCAGGTTATGACTGTGCGTGAGTAGATGATAGGCGAAATGACATCACGCGAGTCACCAGTGATCAATTCGCTTAGCCAAGCGATAAGTATGGCGTTATTGGTCTTTCAAAGACGTTTCGTTCGATATGCATGTCAGCAGGTTGGGACAGTGCGTACGCGGTTGACAGGCGTGATGACGTCACGTGAGTCACTAGTGATTGTTTCAGTTGAATGAGTGATAGTGACTGGCGTATCACCGTTGGAGAGGCACTTCATTTGATATGCACGTTGTCAGGTCAAAAAAAGTGCTTGTGTAGATCGGAAGATATTTGGAGCCACGTCAACCACTATCGATCATGCTTTGGCCGCACAATAACGCACACAAAGTAAAGAAACACTAAACGACAAGCACAAGCGGTACTTCCAACTTGTCCTTTAGTGTTTCTTTACTTTGTGTGTGTTATTTTGCGGCCAAAGCATGTCAGTAAGCAAGTACCAACTAGGCCAACAATCAGTATTGTTACACTATCGATCACCTGCTCATTGGTCACTTTAGTGATCACTGGTAACTCCACCGGTGCTTGAAACGGTACCCACATAACCGCTGAGATGGCCACATTTTGTTACTAGTGACCACAACCTGGATTTTCGCAGCGACGGTCACACTGTGTCACTGTTTCGTTATGTCTTGTTCAAGTGGCCCATTAAACACTGGGATTTTGTTCACGGGGATTAAACTGAGTTTAATAATCGTTGGTGTGCAGGTGTGGCTACATGGAGGTAGAAACGCAGAGCGTGGGAGTGTTCATTGGCGTGGGAGCGTCCCGCGAACCGGAGAGCCACGCGCAACTTGATATTTCAGCTCACAGAGGAGGAGGAGGAAGAGGAGGAGGAGGAGGAGAACGTAAACACCGGAAGAAGCGGAGAATCCTCAAGCCCCTAGAACTAGGGGCTTAAAAGAATCCCGAAGCAACGTGTGACTTGACACTGCAGGTGACGGTTACGCCATCTCTGGATGCTTCTTGTAACAGTCACTAGTGACGCATTCATTCTTTATTCCACACATTCTGATAACTCCCGGAGGCCTCAACCACGGCGTCTCGCATAATCAGTTTTTTTTTGTAGTTTTGGGACGTTAAAATCTATACATTAATATTATTAGCAATTAGCACAGTGTTGAGACCAGATAGATAGATAGATAGATAGATAGATAGATAGATAGATAGATAGATAGATAGATAGATAGATAGATAGATAGATAGATAGATAGATAGATAGATAGACAGATAGATAGATAGATAGATAGATAGATAGGCTCAAACGGCATTTCCTCCTTAGTTAGCCAAGAAAAACGCGTTCTATCGAAAAATAACATTTAACTGCTCGCGCAATCTGCTCGCGACTTTTGTGCTGCCACCTAGCGCAAAACGTCAGTAACCTGAGAGACAGCGTTAGCGCTTCGAGCAGCGGCGAAGCCGAGCTCCGTACTATACTGAACAAGCGGCCCCGGATAGATGGCGCATTTTAGCGTCAGTGTAACCTTTTTGTAAGCTCGTTTCAAGGCTTTTTTTTTAAACTAAAAAATAATGGATATAATATTATTGCACGATAGCTAACACGCAATAAAAAGTTGTGAGTTTACCGGCGCCATTTCTGAACCTCACACTTTAGTTTACAACGCCACCGCTACTGATATAATCGTTGCCGAGGTGTGTGCAGTACTCTAGTCACGGAACACCTGTGTAACGCTGTCGTGTGCCCCCCCCAAACCCCTCGCCGCAGCTGTTGAAGTGGTGCCAAGCAGGTGAAGTCGCAGCTGCACATTAACGTCACCCTCTCTCTCACCCGCAGCAGCTGCCGGCTCTTCACTAGCTCTGAACACACTTCTTTCTCGCTTCACCCTCTCCACCAACCACAACGCTCGATCGCACGTCGTGTGGATCGCACGTCGTTTGGTCGCCTGGTTGATTGCTGTCGCGTGGGACGCACGAAGCCCACCAATGCAAGGCTACGCTTGCTCTGTCATCCTGTTCACTCTCTTCGTAGCATCCGTTTGCTGCGGGGGGGACCCTTCGAGAGACGAAAGGTAGTGTACGTCTCTTCGTGTTTTCGCTTTTAGGTCGCATTGCACGGGAAAATCGCGCTCACCCTTAGAGAGCAGACTGGCCTAGGCCAGGGCGGATCCGAAACTTTAGAAAAAAAAACTACGAAAGAAAAGCCACGTCACGCTTTCTATGGGTGTTTAAAACGTTCATTTAAAGCCCCTCGATATTTTAGGAATACACGTATCTCGAGATATGACCGTTGCATTGAGCGACATGTCGTATTTGCCCTCACTTACGGACCCCCCTTACCGGGCAAGGGCGCACGCACGCACGTCTCGTTTTTCGCGGTCACGTGGTGTTGCATCTGCGGCAGTTTTGTTTCGCAACGAGCCAACAATCATTTTTCTTTTTTTTTTTTGATGTAGCGATTGCCACGAAACTAGCTTTAGATGTTTCCGGCTCGCGTAAAAGTAGTTGCACTCCTTACGTTTACTGGGAATAACAGTTGTAATGATAAATTAAGGTGCGTCCATAACGTGTGAGAAGCTCTGCTTGAAAAAGAACGGTTTCGGGCAATCTAAATTGGCCACGCTGGCTTTACTCGACAAAGTTTCTCATACTGACGTGAAATATTTCTCAAAGGAGCATTCCTTGGTTGAGGAAAATAAGAGAATGTCCTTACTGTATAAGTATCTACCGCTAGAGTATCATTACTAGATTTGTCGCGGTAGATAGATACCGCAAGTCTATTCTCTTGCTCCTTGAGATGAAAAGTACAGCCAAAGATATTTGTCTACAAAAAAAAAAAAGAATAGAGACATATTACACGCAGTTTTTCTAGCTTGACCACTCCTGCGTTGGTAGTGGTTTCTATAGGAGCGAAAAATGCACGGCCTTCTTACCCGTTTCCCCCTCCCCAACCCACCCTCTTTTATTTTTTTCGTAGAATTGCCACATCCGTACTTGTGCAGCAGTACTTTATCGCTCCCCGTGCAAACCGCCGGCCGAAGGCAGATGATGAATGTTATCGGCACTTGCTCGTGTCCTGTTTGAGACGCGTTGCAAAACACATCCGTTGGTGACATAAGCGCGGCGTAATTTCGAGTCTGGGGCTCTGCGCAGATTTCTACGCCGCGCAGCTGAAAGTGGGCGTATTGTTTCCGAGCACATGTAATTACGAAAGGCGCGGTTCGTATTACTTTAACGAGTGAGAAGACATCAGCGGTGAAACGTTGTCGAGACATGACCGTGTCTTAAGTGTTCTCCTCCAAGACCGCGCACATTTTTTACCACCCGATAAGTGAGCTGCCCCAGCTGATTACCATAGCAGAACTCTATTCAGTTACAATTTCTTGTCTTTCGAAAATATTTTTTTTTGTTAGCGGTCGATGCAAGGGAAGAGGAAATAATTGTAAGGTGGAGGGGCAGATGAATGTGTTTTATGTATTTTACCTTGGTCGTATATAGGCGACATGAGAAATTTGTGCGTCTGTGCATACTCGTGTGTCAGTGTGCCTGTCTGCCACATGATTCACTGGGAGCTATGCCGAATGAGCCGATATTGTTATTTACCATCCTAATTTACTTCTTTCGACATACTAAAGCCGCCATAGACGAGTTATTGCAAAAGTGAGTAAATAAGGTAGTGAACAACGTAATTTTATGAGCCACCAGCTCTAAAACAATGAGAAACAACACTTGCGTTACTAACAATGAGACACTGAGCTGAAAAATGATATAGTATAAAACAAATGATATACCGAAGCTAAACCAGTCACATTCGCTGCCTGCAATGAGGCTGTACGTATTTACAAAATGTACCAAAGTACAAAAGTAGTTTGAATTCGTTCATAATGTCGTTGTTAAAACCTCCTTCCGGATGATCCACCCAGAACTTGTGGCCTCAAAAGGGTCAGCCAAATGTATATGGAAACCAAGCCTTATGTATTCGAACCTGCATTTCAAGCTTTACACTTCTTGTTTTAGGCTATTGTGAAGTTTTGATGTTCGCAAATGGCTTCTTGCAAGTTGGATATATGCAGAAGTACTCTCTTCAGAAGTATGGCTTATTTGTTCCACATGTTGTGTTTAGAAAAATTTATTCTCACAGACAGTAAACATCAATAACATTTGAAAAAAATTTTTTCAACAGTACAGCACATGCACAGACACACAAAATACCAAGTACATTACATGGTGAATAAAAGCACAAATAAAACGTGAATATGTACATTTTGCATATTTACATAGATTTTCTGCCGGTACAGAACAATAAGAACGAAGATAGACTTCATGAGCAATGAAACAAGCATTACAGCACTTGTAATGCTTATTCACTTGTTATTAGCCTCCCTTTTGGCTCAGGTTTTCCATATTTCAAATTGAATTTATAATGATGCTGAGAGCTGTTATATGTTTATTTTCAAAATCCGTACGAATTCGTACTCCACGAATTCGCTCATTGCTTTTTTAACCTGTTTACCAGTAGCTGTTGCAGTTAGCACCCACTGACAGTTTATTCCATTAATTAATTACTGTGACACGCACCATTAATCGACAATGTGTTTTGTGCGTTTTTTCAAACACTCAGATCAACATCGCTCGCTTATTTATCGAGCTTGTGTTATACTCTGCGTTCTTCTATGTTGCAGGGAAAGGGATGATTATTCAACGCTTCTTGCTGTAGGAGGAGCTGTAGGTAGGTGCCTGCTCTCTCTCTCTCTCCCTCTCTCTCTCTCTCGCCCATTTCCCTAATCACAAAAGTTCATTTACACACCTACTGGCCTTATTGATGTGACAAGAAAAAAAATTCTCGTATGATTCATATGCCTCGTATCCAATAATATCGTATGAACGCATATGAGTCATGACCGTACGAGATTATTAGGTACGATACTTATGTGTCATATGACAATTTTTGACGGAACTCGCCTCTAAGATCACTACAGCACTGCCGCCAACTGTGGAGGTGCCACCACGGCCGCTGTATAAAAAACGAGTGTCACTTACGTATAGAGCGATCAAGCTATAAAAATTTGGGTACAGTAACAATAAATCTTGCATGTGCAACGTCACGAATTACGTGACGCAGGATTGAAGGAAAAAATTGTGCTTACATTAAAAACAATGGTTGTTATTTTGCGGTAATCACTGACTATAGTAAATAATTTTGTTAACGCCCCTTCATCTTGGAGGCTTTAGTTTTGGCAACGTACCGGTTGCCCCTCCCCCTCCTCTACTAAAGCCCTATTAATACACCAGAGGGCAGCACATGAAAATAAAAAAAAAAGGTGCGAATTGTGCCGGAATTGTTCAACCTAGGCATCGTATTGTACGTTGCTTTCACGTTCATGCACGATAGCTATTGCGGTATACTGCGTGTAATGTGTGTGCTGAAATAAATTTTTTTAATGAACGATCATTTAGCGGCATTTAGCAAGTACCATCCCAACTTTTTTTTTCACATTTTCTTTTTTCATATCAACACTCGCTCTTGCAATTGAAGTGAAAAAAAAATCATGGACCATCGCCCCGAAGGGAACCCTGATGGAATGCGAAGTCGCATCGGTGCGCACGGCGCTGACTCGGTTGAAGCGGGCGTTGATTGGTGATAGATATGTGGGGTTTAACGTCCCAAAACCACCATATGATTAAGAGAGACGCTGTAGTGGAGGGCTCCGGAAATTGTGACCACCTGGGGTTCTTTAACGTGCGCCCAAATCTGAGCGCACGGGCCTACAACATTACCGCCTCCATCGGAAATGCAGCCGCCGCAGCCGGGATTCGATCCCGCGACCTGCGGATCAATAGCCGAGTACCTTAGCCACTAAACCACCGCGGCGGGGCAGAAGCGGCCGTCGACGTGGGTGCTGGAAGAACGGTTTCAAGTGAAACTCGGTGTAGCGTTTACTCGAGTTCGGAACGCCTAAAAACGGGAGGCGGGCTGGGCTTCCTGAAGTTTAGTCGCAGGACTGTTCGCTCGACGTGGGCTCGAAAGTTGCGAGCGGTGGAAAGGGTAAAGCGAGGGAGATGACACGCGGCGACAGGCTAGGGACAGAGTGACGTCAACGCGCGCGCACTGCGAGGGAAGGCGTGACCTACTTGGCACCGCCCCAACACCTGTGACCAGGGAAGCGTGGTGTGGACGGAGGGACAGCTCTACACAGGCTAGTCAAAGATCCGCTTCACATCTAGCAGTTGTAGTGTTTTTTACGCCCCAAAACCAAAATATGGTTATGAGGGACGCCTTCGTGGGGTGCTCTGAAAATTTTTGACTTCCCGAGGCACCTGAACGATGAGTCCTAAGCACACAGGCATCTGGTAGTGTTCCTCCACCGAAATGCGTCATCCCTGGCCGGGATTCGATCCCAGCGACATGTGGGCTTGCAGTCGAGTCACATAACCACCGCACCATCGCATTTTACGGTATGTACGAATCGCTTTATCTGCATGCTACACGAATCACAGCACGAACATTTTTTTTTTCTTTTAAAGGTGTTCCATTAAAGTACGGCACAATAGCAGAGCTATGCGCCATAGAATCTGCTAGGGAAAGGCGTTGGAATCAATGCTGCAGTTCAGTCAAATAAGTCAAGAATCACTTGTCTTCCACTGATGTACGTGTTTTTTTTGTTTGTTGTTTTTTTGGTGCAGTGGGAGCGACCGGGGCTGTGATGGCCGCTCCTGCCGTACTTGCGGCAGCTGGATTCACAGCAGCCGGCGTGGCAGCCGGATCGCTGGCCGCGGCGGCCCAGGCAACAATGGGTGGCGTCGTGGCGAAAGGCAGCCTCTTCGCATTATGCCAGAGCTGGGGCGCAGCTGGTCTTCCCCTTGCCGCGAAGGGTGCTGCAGCCACGGTTGGTGCATGGCTTGGCTTCAATGCTGTCGACTGAACCAGCTTTGTCACAATGGTTTCGCTTGTGGCCCAATAATGATGATGATGATGATGATGAACCTTCGGCTTTGCTGGCACTCGCCCACAAAGGGGGATCGGCCAAGAACCGGGCGGCAGGATCATCAATAAAAACGCAAACAAAATTCATTGCTTAATTTTCTTTTTCGTTTCGGCATGGAAGCTGCTTAGTGCCCCCTTGGGGTCAGGTCACATATCGCGTATCCCGTCCTTCCAGTTCCGTCCAGTGGTGGCGAGAAACTCATCGTCGACTTTTTGTGCGCCGAGAGTGACACCATTCTACTTCGGACGTAAGCCACTCTACTGAGAGTATATTTTTAATAACATGTCTTACGTGTGTAATGTCGTGTTGCATCAGGAATGCAGGAACTGCTGTCGACGTGCTGAACTGTAGCTTGAAGCGGTTAATCGGCTTTGCCTAAAGAACGAATGCTATGATAAATCACTATTTAACAGTCTCTCACATGAGTACTTGCAGTTACTATGAAGCTTATATTAAGGTAGACAGGTTGACCAGATCAAGGGCAAAAAGAAATCAACGCGTCTTCACGAAGTGAATCATGACGAGTGGGCTAAGCTCTGTGTTTCGTATCGTACCTGGGTGAGTAAGCGTACGTCACCAGAGGGTTGCCCCACATAATGTGAAGTTGAGTGACGAAGTTTATGTAGAAAAGTACACTTATTTCGCTTTCCGATCGACTTGGCCGATTCGGGGAGGATTTGTACAATTTCTGGAGCGGAGGATATGCCACGAAAGTGAATCCAAGAACCCGCCATGTCGCCGTGGCAAGATGCCATTTTATTATGGGTAATTTGAAATATATACGTGTGACTTTGTTTCGCAGGTTTTCTTAAGAAGCCTCAATATCCAGGCACATTTTAGTAGCGATCAAATTCATCAATGCTCCTCTCGATCATGGGCATAGCCAGGCGGTGGCACTCCAAGCCAATGTCCCCCGAATTTTTTTCTTCTCCATAGGTATACAAAGCACGACATGACCATTTGCCTACCAGGGCACCACTTTAGATCTTAGAGGTGCCCCCTCCCGACCCTCCAAAAAATGTCCAAATTCAATCCTGCTCTCCAGCGATAGGTTATTTTCGCCGGGAACAGTGATCTGTTGCCTTGTAATTAGCATATGTCCACGCTGAAGTGTTTTGTAAAACCTTTGTGTGTGTGTGTGTGTGTGTGTGTGTGTGTGTGTGTGTGTGTGTGTGTGTGTCTCGAATATGTGTCGATTAGAGCAACGGTTCCGTACTCTGACAACGATTGACGACAATGCTATAGGTCCTAAGGAGCTCAGCCCCGTAAATCATACCGAAAGTCAGGTGGGCAAATGTCAGAGATAATTGAAATACTGCGAAAGGTGCAGAAATCTTTAGTTGGGAGGATGGGGTGAGCAGTTGATGTAATGTTAGTTATTCCAAGGAACTATAAGTTAGAATTGGTGTATAAGGTGAATCAAATGTGAATGGAAACAATGTTGTAAAGCTCCGGGATGAAGAACTGCGCCTCGGTGACTGCAGGAGAACAAGCAATTTGGAAGTATCAATCCAAGTGATCGAGACTGCCACAGTAAGTGTCTCGTGAGAATATATATGCTCTGGCCTGAAGCACTCTGGCATTTGCCAAAGGCACTTTACATTTTATCGAGTGTGAATCATGCCGCAGTAAAATGATGCAACATGACGCCTTTATCAACAGCCCATTTCCATTGCATAGCCACAAGGAATAGACGAAGAACAGCGGCAATAATAACCTGCGATAAAAAAAAGTTGATCAACAGTTAACCATGACTCATTCACAGGCAGCACATGAGTACCATACATTGAAGCCTCATAATAGCGAAAACACTCAAATACAACAGGATAACACACTCCGACGGTGTGGCAGTTCACGAAATGTATGTGAAAGTGGTATCACATGCAAGTGAAGACAACGGGTGACAAAACTCTGCCAACATCCATGCAATGTGGTTTCCGTGTATTTATCACTACATGATCCAGTTAGCTGCGCGTGTCTGTGACCACGTGGCAGGGCAAGCTTTATTGGTGCGAACCAACAGCCGTCGTTGTAACAATGGGTCAAGTAGTCATGCAACGGTTCCCATTTCACACACTGTATGAGCTACGAGTGGAAAGTGATCCAGTTCAGCTTTCCCGCATTGAGGTCAAACGGCATGAAGAATATCTAGTAGAGTAATACCGTTTACATGGAGATCTGCTGTGCACAGTTTCACTTGCGAAACTCACTTAGACACAAGACACAATTACATTTTGCATAACATTAGGATGGCGTACTTGAACTGGTATAACGCATTACGGGGAAGAAGAAACGGCCGAGCAGACCGACACAAAAGGACAGAGCGCTAACTTCCAACTAAGGATGGCGATGATAAAAGGCTTGGAAAGATGGACGAAGCATTGAGAGTACTGGAGGCAATGTAGCTTTTAAACGTACACTGACGAAGAAGCTGTTTTAGCAGGTTAATTGATTGATATGTGGAGTTTAACGTCCCAAAACCACCATATGATTATGAGAGACGCCGTAGTGGAGGCCTCCGGAAATTTTGACCGCCTGGGGGTTCTTTAACGTGCACCCAAATCTGAGCACACGGGCCTACAGCACTTTCGCCTCCGTCGAAAATGCAGCCACCGCAGCCGGGACTCGATCCCACGACCTGCAGGACAGCAGCCAAGTACCTTAGCCACTAGACCACTGTGGCGGGGCTGTTTTAGTAGGCTGACGCACAGTATCGAAGAAAGACAATCTCTCCACAGTTTTTGACATACCAGAATGTGCGCGAATATGATTTACTGTATAGTGGTATAAGTACCCAGACAAGATTGTGTTGTCGGAAATTTCTATGGTTTCTGCTTATGCTTCAGTTTGTAATCCTGCCAAAGCAGGCGGAAAGCACGCCTGCTAGCAAAGCAAGCCTGTACTTTTACAAAAACTAAGAATCCATGGCGCGCAAGCGGAGCTCGAAGACAATAGCGAAGACGAAAAAGAGAATCATTTCATAGAGCTTCAAAATTTCATACCAAATTTGTAATATCTTCCATAACCTCCCTCCTCCTAATGTATTATAAAATTTTGCAAAACCACTCCCAATTCAAGGCCAGTATACTTCCCAAGTGGGGTAAGCCACAAGATCAACACTACAATAGCATGATGCAGCAAGATAGCAAGTTTGGCCTGTCGGATTACGTTCATAACCGAAAATTTTGTTGAAGCGCACCGAAAAGCAGATGGACAGAAGAGGCCGACAAGGACAGCGCCTGCCTTGCTGTCCATGTCAGCCTCTTCTGTCCGCCTGCATTTTGGTGCGCTTTAACAAAATTTTCATCCAGTGAAGGGCATGATGCTTGATTCTTTTATCTAAGAGTATATATTAGCCTCGTAGTGTAGCAAAGGGCTGCTAAAGGGAAGTGACGGTGAACAGGGGAAAAGTGAGTAGGGTAGAGGCTAAGTCAAAGAGGTTAAACGAAAAAAAACTTTCGACCTCCTTGGACTCAAATATCGTTTAGCTTCATATATAGGTCTTAATACTGAATCCTCCTACTTTAATTATCCTACCAATCAGTTCTACGTCCATACCCCATTGTGGGTGCGCACCATCCGGAAGACGTCATCATCATCATCAGCATCATCATCATCATCATACAGAGCATGGGCGGCTCGGGCTCGCGTGCTGAAGCTACGGCTGATCGGGTGCAGCAGCAGATCAGACCCGACGCTGTGGCCCTGCCCTCGACCTGCCGGTCGGCACCTCCTCTGTTCGCGCCGCGCTACGTCATGTTCATCCGGCGCGCGTGGGGCAGGTTGCGCAAGTCGTCGAACGCCGGGGTTCCGTACGCGGCGCCCGGCGCCGTCTGCGACGCCGCAGCAGGAGCGCGGACGTCGTCGGCGACGTCCGGCGGCGCTTCGAACGCGGACGACAAGACGGCAGGAGGGACTTCGGCGAGAGCCACGTCCTTGATGGCCGGCATGGCCGCCGTGTCCTCGGTGGAAGAGGAGAGGATGCAGTGGCGCAGGTGAGCGTATGCCCATATCGCCGAATGTTGTGTAACGTTAATTAATAATAACAAAATAACACTGCAGCGTTCGCTGTCGGTTTTAGTTAGTGTCATAGAACTCATAATTCAGTACTTTGCCGCACTGAGGCGGCCGCACCGCCCCGACAAACGGACACAGATACAGAGAGATTAAGTGTACGCAATGTCTATTCTCCCGGCAACCGGGATGATTGATCAAAAAAATTTCTCCCGGTGGTCGCCTTCCGTTGGCTCTCATATGTCACGTGACTAACTGCTGTGGGGAGAAGAGAAAAAAAACTGTCTGCTGTGGTACAGACTGGGCATACGTAGCCCATCGTGCGTTAGATTAGGTTAGGCTAGGCTGCGAGACAGACTGAACAGACGTGGCCACGCGTGCGTTGGATTAGGTTAGGTTACGGTGGGTTATGTTGAATAGGTTAGGTTAAGTCCTACCGGTTGCTGGGAGAATCATGCAAAAAGTTTATCCCGGCAGTTAGTCACGTGATTTATGAGAGCCAATGGGAGGCGACTGCCGGGAGAAATATTTTTGATCAATTATCCCGGTTGCCGGGAGAATATACACACCCTTAAGCGTATTCGGAAGGACTCTCCGCAACGGTGCCAATGGCGTGGTTGGTTAAACGCCCCGCTTTCTATCGCCGCGGAGCGAGAAGTCGTGGTCTCGTGTGCCAGGTCTTCCAAATTCGCGTAGCTTTTTTTTCCTTCTGGTTTCTTTCTTTGTATAGCGCTGGTGTACCAGTTAACATGTTAAATGGGGCACTAGCTGTTAAATGGTAACATGTTAAATGATACATGTTAAATGGTCACGGCATGTGACGTTGCAACGTCATATCCGCGACGGAAATGCGTCAGGCAAGTGTTGGTGGGCCCCGGAATAATAAACTTACGTGTTAAAACAATTCATGACGTTTTACGTCCGAGAACTATATGATATGATCACGGTGAACGTCCTTACGCAGGGCTTCGTAAATTTTGCCCCCCCTCGGGGGGGGGGGGAGTTCTTCACCGTGCACCTAAACCCTATATTACGCGGGCCCCTAGCATTACGCATCCGTCAAAATGCGACTGGTATTCT